GCTGAGAAAAAAGGTATATTCTTTTCTATTCCCATTCTATTTTGTCCAGAGACCTATCATATCTATCTTTTCCAGAATTTTATTCACCTTCTTAACTTCTTTCTTTTTTTTTGTTAGATTTATCTAGTTCTGAGAGGGCAACATTGAGAGCCCCCCACTAGTATAGTTTTATTATCTATTTCCTCTTGTAACTTATTCAACTTCTCCTTCAAATATTTAGATGCATATATGTTTAGTATTGATATGACTTCACTGTCTATGGTACCTTTCAGCAAATTATAGTTTCCTTCTTCATCTCTTTTAATTGTATCTATTTTTGCTTTTGCTTCATCTGAGATCGAGATCAGTACCCCTGCTTTCATTGCTTCAGCTGAAGCATATAGATTCTGCTCTAGCACTTTACCTTTACCCTGTGTATATATACAGAGAAAGAGTAGATAGATATCTGCCTGAAATGTGTTTTTTGTAAACAACATATTGTTGTATTTTAGTTTTTAATCCATTCTGCTATCCACTTCCATTTTATGGGTGAGTTCATTCCATTAATATTTATAGTTATGATAATTAACTGTGTATTTCCCACCATGCTATTTTTCACTTTCTTATCTCTCTTTTTCTCTTATGTGCCACCTTCTCCTTCCCACTTCTGATCACCAACTTTTCCAATATACCCTCCCTTTTATCAGTCCCTCTTTTCCTTTCTTTTATCCCTGTCCCTTTTTAACTTCTTAGAGGGTAAGATAGATTTCTATATCCAACTACGTGTCTATATTATTTCCTCTCTGTGCCAATTTTTTTGAGAGTAAGGTTGAAGCTTTGCTCACCACCACCCATCATCTTCTCCTCCAAAAGTGGGATAATTTACCCCTTTCACTTTCCCTGCTTCCAGTGCAATTTTCTTTCTCACCCCTTTATTTTCTTTTTTGGAGTATCATCTCATCAAAGTCACCTTATATCCACACCCTCTGTCTACATATACTCCTTCTAATTGCTTTTATAGTAATAAACTTGTTAAGAATTACAAATACTATCTTGCCATATAGAAATATAAAGTTTAACCTTATTGAATTTCTTACGTTTTCTCTTTCTTGTTTCTTTTTTACCTTTTTATGTTTCCCTTGAGTCTTATATTTTGAAGTCAAATTTTTTATTCAGCTCTGGTCTTTTAAGTAGAAATGCTTGAAAGCCCTCTATTTTGTTAAATATCCATTTTTTCCCATAAAATATTATATTCAATTTTGCTGGGTGGGTGATTCTGGGTTGTAATCCTAACTCCTTTGCCTCATATTCCAAGCCTTCTGCTTCTTTAATGTGGAAGCTGCCAAATCCTGTGTAATCCTGAATGTTGTTCCACAATATTTAAATTGTATCTTTCTCGCTGCTTGCAATACTTTCTCCTTCATCTGTGAACTCTGGAATTTGGCTATGATGTTCCTGAGAGTTTTCATTTTGGGATTACTTGCAGGTAGTGATTGGTGGATTCTTTCAATTTATATTTTGTCCTCTGGTTCTAATATATCAGGGAAGTTTGATAATTTCTTGAGAGGTGTTGTCCAGGCTTCTTTCTTCTTTTTTTCTTTCTTTCTTTCTTTCTTTCTTTCTTTCTTTCTTTCTTTCTTTCTTTTCTTTCTTTCTTTCTTTCTTTCTTTCTTCTTCTTTCTTTCTTTCTTCCTTCTTTCTTCCTTCCTTCCTTCCTTCCTTCCTTCCTTTCTTTCTTTCTTTCTTTCTTTCTTTCTTTCTTTCTTTCTTTCTTTCTTTCTTTCTTTCTTTCTTTCTTTCTTTCTTTCCTTCTTTCTTGATCATGGCTTTCAGATAGTCCAATAATTCTTATATTATCTCTCTTGGATCTATTTTCTAGGTCAGGTGTTTTTCCAATGAAAAATTTCACATTTTCCTTTTTTCTCCTTTTTTTATTTTGTTTTATCATGTATTGGTGTCTCATAGAATCATTAGTTTTCACATGTTCAATTCTAATTGTTAAGGAATTATTTTCTTCAGTGAGCTTTTGTACTTCCTTTTCCATTTTGCCAATTCAATTTTTTTGGGGAGTTATTTTCCTTGGTAAATTTTTGCATATCTTTTCCCATGCTGTTGAGTCTTTTTTCATGATTCTCTCTCTCTCTCTCTCTCTCTCTCTCTCTCTCTCTCTCTCTCTCTCTCTCTCTCTCAGCCAATTGGAGTTAAGTGACTTGCCCAGGGTCACACAGCTAGTAAGTGCTATGTGTCTAAGGCCAGATTTGAACTCAGGTCCTCCTGACTTCAGGGCTGGTACTCCATCCACTGTGCCACCTAGCTGCCCCTAGTCTCATTTCTTTTCCCAATTTTTCTTCTACTTCTCTAATTTGCTTTTAAAAACTTTTTTAAGCTTTTCTAGGAATTCTTTTTGGGCCTGAGATCAAATTACATTTTTCTTTGAAGCTTCAAATGTAGCCATTTTGACACCATTGTCCTCTTCTAAATTTATGCCTTGATATTCCCTATCATCATAGTAATTTTCTATACTCAAATTCTTTTTTTGATATTTTTGCTCACTTTTTTCTACCTTTTTTTTTGGTGACTTGGTGTTTTTATGTGAGAGTTGGGTTCTGGTCCTGCACTGTCCCAAGCTTTTTGGGCTGGGGCTCTGGCTCTTACTTCTGGCTTTCACTGGGCTTCTATGGAGGGTAGGCTTACCTTCTGGCTTATACTGGTGGGGAGGAGAGCCTCCCAGTTGGCTTCTCCTGGGTGAGGGGTTTAGCTGCTGGCCTGCTCCAGGGGTGAGGCCTTGTTGCTAGGTTGTTATGAAAACAGTGTCCCTCCACTGGTAGGCCCCAGATCTTGCTGTTGGCCAACCCTGAATCAGGGCTTCACTTCTCGTCAGCAATGGGGTCAAGGCCTCACTGGTGGCTCATGCTAAAGGTGGGGTCTCTGAGGTGGTCCTTTGCTGAGCTGCACAGACTGCTCACTTGCCTTAGAGGCTTCAGGTTTGCAGGAGGACAGGCCTCACTGAGGGATTGCCCCAGGCTTGGGGTCCTGTTGCAGGCCCCCTGCTGTGAGGCTGGCTACTGCTGCTACTCTTGGACCAGGCTCCCTTCCCACTCCAGTGAGACAGACCTTTCCTACTGGGCTGGTAAGCTGCTTCCCTCCTCCTAGACCTATTCTGAGGAGGTTTTCTAGTTGTTTGGAGGGGAATTTGGGAGGGCTTCAGAGGGTTCCTTCCTCACTCCACCATCTTGGCACCAGAAGTCAATACATCTTAATAAGAGGAAATCCCTAAGGCAAACTATGTGACATTTATGAGAGAGTTTTAATCCCCTATCTCCCTGGAATTCTTGGTTTACCCATACTACCTGAAGAATAGTATTTCTTCCTAATAGCCAGCTGAGGATTCTGGCTAGTAGGAGATGCCTGCAAAAGATAATACAGAAGACAACAGAGATCAACCCCAAATTTGGGAGCAAGCTTTATGACAGAGATTCTTAATCTTTTTGGCCCCGTGGTTCCCTTTGGCAGTCTGGTGAAACCCATGGACCCTTTTTCAAAATGGTGTTTTTTAAGGTATAAAATAGAATACATAGGGAAAAAAAGGAAATTAATTATATTGAAATGCAATTATCAAAATATTAAAAATATGTTCATTGACAACAAGTTAAAAACATCTTTTATCAGATGGCTATAGTAAAGCAGGATTCAGATGTGTGAAGGAGCTAGGTTCAAAGACCCTAGAAGATGGTTCAAATTGTGTTAGTCCTTCCAAAGGAGCTATATAAGTTCATGCCAGAGCTAAGTGCTGGCCATGCTCCCACTCCATTTACCACTGAGCAGCTGTTTGTGTGCTTGTATTTTGATTAATTACCCCTAGGAAAAAAATGACTTTAGAAATATTTCAGCCTGCTGGAATTTGTGAAAAAAGTGGCATTTACTCTATAAAAGTACTAGATAAATGTCGACTATTTTAATTATTCTATTACCTTTCAACTGTATCAAACAGGGGGTCAAGGTAATCTGTTTGTTTAGAGAGGAACTTCAGTTTATGATAATATTTTAAAGGTTTCCTTCCTTCACTCGGCCCCCATTCTGCAAAGTTTCTTCCTCTAAGCTGTCTCCCAATACTGATGCCTTATTACATGGATGGCAATGAAGTCATCAGAATTGGCCAAGCTCTGACCAATTTTATCAAGCTGGAAAGGCTTTGAATATGACTTTGTCATTATGCAGTATGTCTGTAGGCCAAGGACTAGTCCAACTATTGGAGAAACTGATTACCAGGTGGTCATAAGGAGATGACCATTTTACAAATATTTGCAATCTGCATCAGTGGAGAGAGGAAGTATGCACAGGATTGAAAATTCCCGTTCTTTTGAGAAAAGACCATCAATTTGGTGATTTGGAGATTATTGGCAGTTTTAGAGAAAGTAGGTTCAGTTGAATGATAAGGTCAGCTGCAAGAGTACAGAGAGTTGAGAAAATGGTGAGACAAGTAGAAATGGAATGTAGATAGTATTTGCAAGAAGTTTTGTTGAGAAAGTTAGTAGAGATATAAAATGAAAGCCAGCGCAGATGGTAGAAACTAGTGAAAATTTTTAGGGATAAGGGAGATTTGGCCATGTTTATAGGTAGTGGGGGAGAGATTGAAGATTAGAGAAAATTGGGATAATAATGGAGATACTTTGCTAAAGGAAAGGATGAATGAGATCAAGGATGTCAGAAGGTCGCCCTTGAAAAAAAGAAGGACCACTTCTTCATCCAAGACTAGAGGGATGAAGAAAATAGTAACGGATAATGTCCAAGGAATGCAAGGTGAGGAGAAGCAAAGGAGAGGGACCTCTCCTGGAATGTTCCCATTAAAAATATACACAACTTAGAAGCAGCAAAGTATTAAAAATAATCAATACCAAAACAAAAAACAAATGAGGCATGATATCCATTAGTAAATATTTAGTAAACGTAGGGTTTATGTATTTTTTTAAGTTACTAATGGATTCTTTTTTATTTTTCATTCTCATTCAAATCTTTTTAAGGCAGGCCTTTGCTAAGGAGAGAAGAAGAGAACTGGAGTGCATCCAAGTCTTCTAATGGATTTCTGACAACATGGCAAGGCTGAATTAAGCACTGGTACTCCACTTAAGAAATCATTATCTTCTACCCAGAACCTGTTCAGTTCGTTCCTTGCCTCTTTGCAGTGTTCAGGCTCTCGTGGAATAGGACAACCTGAAAAGAATTCAGACAAGGTTGCTCTGGCTCAGACGACTGATCAAAGTAAAAGGATATCCTGTTTGGCTAATCCCCAGAACAAAAGTAATAGGTCAGAGTCTGGACAGAAGAGTTAAAACCATATTAAAGTTGGCTTTTTATTTAACATTTTTTTTAATTAAAGTTTAGCATCTCAGTTCAGGTAATCCTAGTTTAGCAATATGATACAGACAGGTAGCTGGATTAAATGTATTTGTGTGTGTGTGTGTATGTGTGTGTATGTGTGCATGCATGTGTGTGCATGTGTGTGTGCTGTAGTAGGGATACATTCTGTAGAAACAGTCAAAAGGATTAGCTATGATGTCTTAGATATGCTTTGACACTGAGCCTCTTGAAACTTCTCTTATAGCAGAGCACTGCAGCGTTTATACCCACATTCATAATGCCAACCCCCCTAGATATACATGAAGAGGACAGACATATAAATCATAGAGTCCTGGATTTGGAGACAAGAAGTCCTGGGTTCAAATTCTAGCTCAGTTACTTACTACTTGTGTGACTTTGTCCAAGTCACTTACCTGGGTCTCATCTCTAAAATGAATGTGTTGTACCAGATGATTTCTGAGATACCTTCTAAGTATAGAACTATGATCCTGTGATGCTGAAATCCTCCCTGCTTGTGCACAGCTTCCCTTACCATTCTCTATCCCTCATCTTTTTTCTCCTTTTTGTGGGTTTGTGCTGTTTACTCCCTCTGTTCTTCATCTCAGTCTTATTTTGTTTTTCCCACTTCACTAGGGTCCCTGGGCATCCCTTGCCTACCTCTCTGTCCAGCTAGAGGTTTCAAGCTCCTACATTTGTCTGAAAATTTTTTTTTTACCTAACAATGTCTCATTCTTAGCTCTACATACACATGGCTACTCTCAAAGTAATTCCTGAAGACATAGTGTGTATTCATGCATGCATTTATATTATATACACACACGTATTGGATGTTGCCTCAGACAAACTGAGACCTGAGAAAAACCGGGATTTAGAAAGGCCAAGGTCACCCGTTGCCCCCCAGGCCATCACCAGTCATCTTGACTTTTGTCTTACCACTGGACTTTCAATGACTCTGGAGGAGACAGTGAGGCTGCAGACTTTGTGCAGCTCTGCCTCATTTAAATCCAATTCATGAGCAAGTCAAGATATCACCATCCTGATGTCATTGGTCTTCTTTGAGAGCAAAGGATGAACAACAACACATAAATAGGTAGATAGATAGATAGATAGATAGATAGATAGATAGATAGATAGACAGATAGACAGATAGATCAATAGACAGATAGATCAATGTGTAGATACAGTACATATATACATAAATGCGTAAACTCATCAATATCTGGTCCAGTTCAGATTTTGTTAAGTATAAAGAAATCCCAGTATAGAAACTCCCTCCAATGCATGAAAATCAGCAATTTATCTGTAACTTATAGTCTTAGAGAGCAGACTAGAACATTACCTGTTCTGTGTGTTCCAAACCTCCTTCCTACGCCATCTTCTTTTTATTCTCTACCTTCTTTCAGTTGATGATGTTATCAACTCCTATGGGTTCAATTGGCAACTATTCAAAAGACATCCATATGTGTGTGTGTGTGTGTGTGTGTGTATGTGTGTACATGTATGTGTGTAGGTGTGGTGTGTGTGTGTGTGTGTGTGTGTTCCTAGTCTCAGATCACGTGTCACCAAATGCTTCTTAGACATTCTGAACTGGATGTTTTACAGGCATCTCAAATTCAGTGCCCAAAACATAACTCCTTATCTTTCTTCTCAAACCCTCTTCTTTTCCAAATTGATTATTGTTGAAAGCATCACCACCCTACCAGTCAGTCACCCAGATTCACAGACTTGGCAACATCCTTACTCTCATTCACCCCATAAATGCAATTAGCTGTTGAATCCTGTCCTTTCGATCTCTGCATTACTGGCATCCCCTTCTCTCTACTCACTCAGCCACCACCATAGCTCAAGCCCCCATCATCTCTTTCTATATTATTGAAATAGTCTCCTATTTGATTTTCCTATTAGTAAATTGAAGTTAATCTGTAGTAACAGCATAATTTGGAAACTGAGCTTGATATGCCATAAGTGAATGCAGACAAGTAGCCTTTTCCAAGTATTCACGTAGGCTGGAAAGTTAAAAACAGACACGTATATCAAAAATAAAGAGTTTCTGTTCTCATGGACCATAGACCACCAGATGTAAGTTGGTCATAAATTGGAAGCTCATTCTCTTACTCTTTTAGGTATTAACAGTTTAATTTGGTCCAGACCTATTATTCCATCCATCTAGGGAATTCTCAGTATACATACAGATGACAGTATATGTAGACATATGAGCATCATGGGGTAGCAAAGAGAGAGCCAGGTCAGAGCCAGAAAGATCTGAATTCTCATCCCACCTCTCTCACATAATGAATACAGGATCCTGGAAAAAACTTTAACCTTTCAGTGCCTCAAGTAACTTTCTAAGGCTAAGAGTTATAGATAAGATGCCAAACCACAGTGGTAGAGAAAGTTTCTCACTGAGAAAGCCCTCACACCAATGAAAGCATGGTTCCAATCAAACACACACACACACATACGCACTTGCATACATGCACGTTATTGTCATTTCAGTCATTTCCAACTCTTCACAACCCCATGTGGTATTTTCTTGGCAAAGATACTGGAGTAGTTAACTATTTCCTTCTCTAGTTCATTTTACAGATGACGAAACTGAAATAAACAGGGTTAAATGACTCGCCCAAGATCACACAGCTAGTAAGTATCTGAGGCCAGATTTGAAATTCAGGTCTTCCTAACTTCAGGCCCAGTGCTCTATCCACTGACCCACCTAACTACACACACACACTCACACACACACACACACACATGTGCACACACATGCATATATTTGTGTGTTTGTCTATATTTATATACACATATATGCATAGGCATCTATGCATACACACAAACTAAGAACTGAAATGCTAGTGGCTGATGACAGAAAAGGACAATTAGCCCCTCGGTCAGTTGGATTTCTGTTTAATTCATTAATAAACATTAGTTATAGCACAAGAACTTATGCATTACATGTATGCATATGCACATATGTATATATACATTTATGTATTTTATGTATATATAAACATAATACATGGATTCATATGTTACATCTAGAATATAGTGTTTTCCAAAAAGTCTTAGCGCTGTTTTGAGCCATTAAAGTGTAAAATGGCACTAAGGCTTTTGGGACACCTTATATTTATCTAGCTAGCTATCAATCTACATGCAGATATGTATGTGATTTTTACATTGACCCAAACCTATGCAATCTGATCTTAATATAACACCAAAGTAATACAATGCAAATGGGATGGTGGGCAGATAAGTGGGGCTATTTGTGCCAGAAAGTTTCTAGGTCCTTCTTTAGGTAAAAGAGTGGGAGTCATTAAGTCATTTGATCAATTACCTCTACCCCACTTAAATTAAGTTCTGTTATCTTAACCAGGTGAAAACATAGTTTAATAAATCAATCAAAAACTTTAAATTAAGTTTTAAAAGTCCTTAAAAGCTATTGGATACACTAGAGTGATGTTAAAAGAAAGTCTGTTCTGATTAGGTGATAGATCTATTCATGCACTGAGAAAGGGGTTGTGTATATAAAACTAGGAACTAGCTCAGAACTTAGGAGATTTAAGTGAGTAGTGAATCAGGAGAGAGGAATTTTTAAAACATTTCTGAGGAGTTTTTTGGGGGAAGTGAGAATGCTTCAACATCAGCCTTAGTCTCTTTCCTCTCCAAACCACCACCACCACCACCATCACCACCACCACCACCACCAACAACAACAACCTTGACCAGAGAAGTAAGTACTTTTTGAGCTCTGAAGAGTCAGGAGGATTTTGAATTTCTCATACTCCCATCTGTATCCTAGCATCATCCCCAGAACATCAGAAGCTAGCAGTAGTGTCTGCACCAGAACTGAGAAAAAACTGGATAAATTGAGAAAAGCAAATTCAAGCTCTACAAACAATCTAGCAGGAAAGCTAAACCATACTTAGGGTGAACATGTTGAGGACTTTGGCAAAAGGGCTTCCAGGAACTAAGAGTTATCCTATACTCTTTTTTTTTTGACTAGGCAATGGGGTTAAGTGACTTGCCCAGGGTCATACAGCTAGTAAGTGTTATGTGTCTGAGGCCAGATTTGAACTCAGGTCCTCCTGAATCCAGGGCCGGTGCTGTATCCACTGCACCCCCTAGCTGCTCTCCTACACTCTTGCTAAACATGTGCTAGGCTTGAGCCCACAGAATTTTAGGAAATTCTTCATACTAATTGTTCTTAGAACACTAAATACCCCTTTCTAAAAATTAATTAAATCTGGATGATTAAATGATATCAACTGGTAATCACGGAAGGAAGTACACCGGTGGGGGCTCATGAGCTATAAGAAGGACACTTTCAATGCCTCCGGGGTAACTCTAGAGCCCTAAGAAGGCATAGGAGTTGTGCTTTGGGGATTCAACTCATCAGTGAGAATTGGAGTTGGAATAATAGATCTAGAACACATGCTATATTTAGCAGCAGTTATAATCAGCCCACATATTTAAGCCATAGTGAGCAATCAATAGTGTTGGTATCAAGTGATATGACCTTGAGGTCAGCTCATAACTCTGTTGTTGCAATACATGACATCCAAACTGAAGGATAAGTGATTTACCTGGGTCACTCCACTACCCTTTTCTATGCCTTTGCCCTTGGTGTACACTGTACCTGGAATGTTCTGCCCCCTCACTTCTACCTCTTAATTTCCCTGGCTTCCTTCAGGTGTCAGCTCAAATGCTGCCTTCTGCAGGAGGTCTTCCCCAGGTGCCTCCCCTATGAGATTACCATTCATTGGCTCACTTTATAGTGCATGTACTTTGTTATTTACATGTTGTTTCCCCCCATTATAATGTAAGCTTCTTGAAGACAGGAACTATTTTTGCCTTTC